CGTCTGTGCAGCGCCTGGGGAGTCCTTTCTCCGTTGAGCCGTTTCAGGCTGTGCCTCGTGCATTGGCGCCCATCGTCTTCTACTGAATTGTCGTGCTTACTTGCAGCGGCTTTGTCGTTGGTGGCAGCTCCGCGCTTGTGGTCTCTGCTGATGATGCAAAGAGCCGTGGTATTGTTTTGCCTCCAACGCCGACAGGAAACCCGTCCATGTCCGAAGATGTTCATGCTATGCCTGCAGTGCCGATGCCGCCACCACAACCAACGCGTGTTGTGATGCCTCCGCCTCCGTCTCCTAAGCCCCTTGGTGTGCCTGCGGCTGACTCATGGTGCGAAGCGTGGTTCTTATGATGGGGATGCTGTGGGCTCACATATGCCTGCGGAGGCTGCGTCTACCTTTGCTGGACAGGCCAAGCAATCGAAGCGGGGTCAAGTTGCTGTTGTTGCACGTGGTGTCGAGATCCCTTCCCCAGGCTGGGTTGGTTCCAGCTCGAGATCCTCAGGAGCGGCTGCTTCCTCCTCGGGCGATGCCGCTACATTTGTGCCACAGTCTTCGGCCGCTGCTTCCTCGTATGCAGGTTCCCCAGTCATTTTTGACGAGTTTCAGATTCCCAAGGGGGGTGTTTCTGTGCCTTCGGACGTGGATTTATATTCCTGATAATGCCACCAGCATGGCCCAACTGTTGTCGTCAGCTCCTCGCATCGCTGTCGAGCAGGTCCCGATCCCCTTCGCCAGACGTATTGGTTGTGCCTCAGCAGGGGGATCCAAGCCTTGTGGCTGGTGATCCAGATCTTGATGCGTCGCAATTGAGCAGTGTTAAAGGTCGCCCCATTGTTCTCCCTAGTGACCAGTGTGATTATTGCACGGGGGAACGTCAGATGTGTGCTTCTAATCGTTACCTGAGTCTCGTTGCGCAGGGGTATGGATGGAGCCCAGGTCGTTCGGTGTGGGCTGATGGTCGTGAGGTGGAGTTGGTTGACGTTGATGTCAGTGGTATGTGATGTGTGGAGCAGAATGCCCCGGTGGTTGGCAACTTCACCTTAATGGTATTCGAGTAAGCCATTGACAGAGTAACATTTTTTAAGGGAGGATGCGTCGACCCAGTCTCCCAGTGTCTTCATGCTGATCATGAATCGTGAGTTTGCGTAGCCGTATTGGGTTTCTTCCCCAGCGTGCTACGGTGGACTTGGATTTGGCCTCGGTTATTCTTGTCCTTGTCTCTCACGGCGTGTCCTGTGTGTCGTTTCTTTGGTTCGTGCTTGCACGCATTTGCACGCCACTTTTTTGATTCGCCTCGGGTGTATGACTTTGTGTGTTGCTATCAGGTTATTCAGGGTGATCTTCACCTTGCTGGGGGATGAGTTTCTATGTTGGTGTCTTGTTCCTGTCGTTGATGTCCCATGGCTACTTGTCAGTGAATGCTTGGTTGACCGTATCACTTCGCTTCCTGCAGCAACTTAACGTGGTTGTTTCAGGTTTACCAGGATAGTTTCAGTTCATGATGTATTGTCGAGTTTTCTCTGATGGTTCATTGGCTCTTCATTGATCTCTTGATTTGAAAAGCTTGCTTTATTATTCATCTTGACGTGCTGATTTTTGTGTTTGTATAAGAGCTGCACGCCCATGTTTGTGTGTTGGGTATCAGTGTGCCCAGCTGCGTGTCCTCCCTGCCATTGCTGTTGTTGTTTCTTCTTTTGTCGCTCTCGTCTGGTCTCCTCTCTCGCTCTGCCTCCTCCCGCCCGTTGCACTTTGCATCTTGTTTCATTTGGTGCCTGTCATGTGCTCCGGGTTCGGAGACGAACGCCTGTTCCTGCCTGGCTTGCGTCGGGGCGCAGGGCACCGCCCTGATAGACGCCGCAGAAACGAAAACAATAAGCCCGTATCAAGGATGATTCACCTCTTGGACCATCTCGAGGCCTTGTGGGCTGTCCCTGGCCGCAGTGGGGATGTCGGAGGTCCCCATTCGGCTCATGTGGCATCTGTTTGGCTACTTCTAGGCACCCTGAGCTTCTTTTTGATGTGTTGGACGTTTTTCGGGGCCCTTTGGGTGCTTCCTGGGGTCTGCCTGTGGGCTGTTGGGTGCCTTTGGAGGCAATGTTGGCCTTCTCGGCGTTTTTGGTGGCGTTCCGGGATGGTGTTGGAAATCGCAGATCGCTCCAGGAAAATGTCGGGCCGAAGGAATGTCGGGAGCAGGGGATGCACGCAACCACGCGTAATAGGTTGTTGTTGTTGTTGTTGTTGTTGTTGTCGTTGTTGTTGTTGTTGTTGTTGTTGTTGTTGTTGTTGTTGTTGTTGTTGTTGTTGTTTGGGGGGGAGGGTGGCCCTTAATACAAAAGACGTGCAGACACCCTGCGAGGGATCAGTTGGCATGGTGGGCCAGTGTGCAATGGGCATTACACCCGCATCACCAATCCCTGTCACATGGTACGGCGAACGGATGATGGGGCGCCCACGCTTGGTCTTGTGCACTTTACATTGTTCTTTGGCGGGATGGGTGGGGGTGGGCCTCTTGCGTCTGGCTCTGTGGCCTTCCGCGTCAGCGACGGCGTGCCCAGCACTACTAGGTGGCAGTGCTATCCCTTCACCCGAAGTTGAATCAGGGGGCGCGCGATGCTTGCCCAATGCATCACGTGTGCCCAGAAACATTACAGGATTCCTTCCAAACTCCTACCAGCACCTCCATGCGAACATTGTTTGTATCAGCCACTTCAAGGCACAGTGGGAGAGCGTGTCCAGTTGCTTGCTCTTTCCTCGTCGTGTTAATTGATCGCAATTGATGTGTGGTTATCTGTGCCCAAGTGTGCGATTCTTGTCATTGCTCACGCCGTGGGCATATTTAGAGCGAGGAAGAACGTCAGTCGTCCGAGCATTTCATATGGTTGGCAATGTGCATGCGACACCAGTTCTTGTTCATAAGACGAGGCATTGGGTATAACATCACATCAGGGTGAATCGTTCCAGAGCTGATGGTAACATGCTTTCCCAAATGCCCCTCTTCGAGGTTCGTTTGCTCCAGTGTTTCGCTGGTGAGCTCGCAGAGCTATGGGCGTATCCAACTGTAGACGATTTGCGTGTCCCCACCGACTTATATCAAGAAAACCATCTGGGACGCAGTTGCGGAACACAGAGAGGGGCACCTGTCAGGCCCCAACAGTGCATTCAATTTGAACCATCATATATAGGTAGAAGGGATTGGCCAGGAAGGCGATGAAAAAGGAGGAGGAGGAAGAGAAGGAATACGAAGAGGAGGAGGAGGAGGAGGACTTGGAGGACGAAGGGAACGACGAGAAGGAGGAGGAGGAGGAGGAGGAGGAGGGTATTATAGAGGAGGGTTCGTGAATTCACATGAATTTGCAGTGTTAGCAATCCTGACCGTGATGCTCGCGACACACAGTGCCGATCGTTTGTACGGGCTGTGCAGGTTCATTGCAGGGTCGTTTGGCAGGAGTCGACGCGATATTGCAGAGTCCTGTTTTGCAGGGGGTTGCAAGAATCGCAGGGCCGTTATGCAGGGGTCTTGGTGGTACTGCAAGGGCCTTTGCTTGGTGTTCATTGCAGGGTGTGTGGCAAGGCCCCAGGCACAGGTGAGAGGGAGGGGTTCACGCTTCCCCTCGAGGGGCAAGAAAAGCAGGCGCCCAACACAACCTGCGGCCAGAGAGCTGGTGGGATAAAGTCTGCCGCTCTGCCTCGTTGCGCCCAATCCTTTTTTTCTGCCGTGGCTGGGTATAACTACGACGGGCAACGACAGAAGTGCGACCACGTGCCCTAGACATGCAATGTCTTGATTTTTTCAATGCGCGGTCCCTGGAAATTCCGACGCCTTCCCAGGGCCGGTTTCCCATCCTGAAACATCTTCTGACTGTTCCGGGGTCTGGTCAAGGCCCCGAAGGCCGTAAACGGCCACCAACCGTCCCATGTTTTTTGTTTGTTTGTTTGTTTTGTTTTTGTTTGTCACGGCGCGAGCATCTCTGGGGTAAGTTTGCCCAGAGCCTTGGGCTCAAGGCAACGGGGTAGCAGAAGGTTTCGGGGCGTTCATGCTCGCTCCCGCGGCGGGCACCCATGCGCTTCAGGTGCGGCATTGCCTTCTCTTGTTCGCCGCGTGCGCGGGTCTGGCGCAGGACGTTGCTGGCGTGGACTACACGAATACGACGGCGACAAGCGTTACGTCCACCACCTCCATTACAACGGTTTCGACGTCCACGACGACCACCACCACGCGGGATTCATGCACGAGCCTCGTCTGCCCCGATGGCTTCGCCCCGAAGGCGAACCATGCAGAACTGCGGTGCGGGTCGGGCGTCTGTGACGTCGCGTCCGACAGGGACCTGTGCTGTGACGAACTGTGCCCTGGACAGATGCGGTGTCCTTACTACTTCTTCCCGAAGGCGAACGACAACGGATCGCTGCAGTGCACGGGCCTGTGCGACCAGGAAACCGATATCGACACCTGCTGCGACGAGGCGGAATCCTGCGCCAACTTCTCGTGCCCTGGGGCCTTCTTGGCCAAGGACTTCATGGCCGACTTCCGCTGCGTAGGCGTGAAATGCGATCCCGTCGAGGACGTGTCCTCATGCTGCGACGAGGGCTGCGCCGAATTCGCGTGCCCCTCCGGCGCCACTGTGAGGGCCACGTCACGCTGCGATGGGCGCTGCCATCAGAAGAAGAGAAAACGGTATACATTCAGAGCGACCGCCACGAGGGCGCGAAGTTATTCGTCGTTCGCGATTTGCGATTCCTCATCCTCATCCTCGTCCTCCTCTTTCTCCCCCGGAGGGGCGGAACGAGAGCGCGAAATGATTCGCGACTCAGCTGCCCTTGTATCGTAAACATGATCATTTGGAGTTCCGCGCGGATATCTAGGATCGGCGCTGGACCCCCCTCCCTGGCGCGCGGAGCGTGCCAGGTGCGGCGCCAGGGGCGCCGCCAGGCAGCTCCAGCGCCGATCCGAGACATCCGCGCGTCACTCTGATGGCCTAGGTTTCTGCAGTCTTTTCTTCTTCTAGCCATGCCATCATGGACCGCGGGACCTGTTGCTCGTTTGCGGTGGCCGCAGACGCGGCCGCCCAGCTAATCAACGCGGCCCGGACTTCGGACGCGCTGCGTGTGGCACGGCTCGGCGCCATGCGCGCAGACCCCCTCGCGCGCGACAGCGCAGGACGGCAGGGCTTGTGGCTGCGCGCAGAGGGCCCCCGGAGGTGGTCCAGGCTGGCCTCTCCACGTGGCCCAGCCGCAGCCCAGGGGGTCTCAACGTCCCAGTTTTAGGGCGCGGAGCCTGCCATGATTTAAGCACCCTGTGATCCTGGCGTTTCATTTTTTTCACAACGGGCGATTTTGCCTCGTTGCGGGCCTCAGGACACTGATAGATCGATCCGGCTTGAACAATGCCGCCAGCAGATGGAGCCCAGGGCTCCGGTAGAGCTTTCCACGATGCTGTATTTTTTTGTGACGTCGAATCTCAGGGGGGCCCACGGGCTTTCCCGGGGGGTCTCAACTCCCCAGCCCTGGGGCGCTGGGCCTGCCGCGAAGCAAGCAGGTCCTGCGGGAACGCGTCTTGCGAGGTTTCACGTCGTTTTCGCCCCCCTGCGGCACTCCCTGGGCCCCAGGGCCGTCTGGAAACGACTCAGGACGAAGAGCTGGTCCCGGGGAAGCGCCCTGGGATTCAGGATCCGTTTCCCTCAGGACCCGCTGTCTTCGAGTTAATGAGCGCCCCAGGGGCGTTGCCGCGGGAGGCGGTGCGAGGCCCGATACTCGGCGGGCACTGTCGAGAGGCGAACCAAAACTGCGTGCCTCCCGGGGTCGCGTGTGCGCAGCCAGGCCAAGACTCCTGGCTCATGATTTTCTGACAACGAGGGCCCCGTGATTCGAACTGCCGTATCGGTCCGTGAGGTGTCCTGGGTACCTGAACAGGGCAAACTCGCCCGTTGTAAAAAAGATGCGACGCCATGATCTCGTGGAGATGCGAGCCGGGACTGCAGGCCTCGTGGGGCTATGCGCGCGCAGTCAGGGGCCGTTCTGGCTCAGTATCGATGAACCTATGCGCATCCCCTCTGGGCCGTGGTGCCTCAGCCCTGCCAGCCCGCCCTTCTGTGTGGGGATTGGCCCGCGAAGCCCGAAGGAACAGGCACACCTCCCCACCCAGGTGGGTATGTCGGTCAGTGGGGTCACGGCCACGCCAGCGGGGATGGTATGGGCCTCCCGGACTAGGTTCGACTGCACGAAGTCGGAGTATCGCCGATGCATCGGCGATGTGGCCCGATCCTCCGACCCCATCTACTCGGACCCCATCTGGGAGACTTTTACATATCGGTGGCGAGCCCAGGGGGAAGTCAGAAGGGGCGGGCCTTTTCAGAAGGCTCGGAAGGCCTTTGGACTTCTGAGAAGTTTCCTAAGACTTCCCCGAAGACAGAGATTGCTTCCAAGGAGGCCAGAGGGCTTCTGAAAAGCCCCGCCGCCTTCGAGAAGCCCCGTCTCACTTCATCCTGGGCGCGCCGCTAAAGATATATCGGCAACTCCTGCGAGGTCATATTCAGAATCGGCGCTGGTATATCCCTGGTCGAACACTGGCCTAATCTCGATTGAGCCCGTTTAGTCCGGCTTCCTCCCGCTGAGTCCCGCCTAACTGATCACGGGCTTACTCCGGCCCAAGCCGGCTCAGTGGACCCTTCATCGGGCTCGAAGGCCTCTCACCGGTAATCGTTCCGACGAAGACCTTCCGCGAGCTGTCCTCACTGCTGCAGGATCGAGTGCTCTTCACCACGCCGCGCTGCACGGGCACGCGGAGGTCCTGGGCCTGCTGCTCGGGCAGAGGGCCGACCTGCACGGCGCGGACGGCCAGGGCTGGACGCCGCTGCACACGGCGGCCGCGCGCGGCCACGAGGCCGCGGTGGCCTTCCTGGTGTCGGCCCGTGCAGACCCCAGCATGCGGACTCCTCGCCTCCCTGGTCGGTTTCGCCGGTTTTCCTGCGTTTTTTTTTTTTTTTTTTTTGAGATTTCCTGGCGTTTTCTGGCGTGTTCGTGGATTCCTGGCGGCTTTCCAGCCTCTGGGCGCCTTCCAGCAGCTGCGCCTCGCCGAGGGCGTTCTTGGGGTGCCAGGGTCGTCCCGAGCGGTCGCCGGGGAGCCGAGTTGTGACCCGAAAACCAGGGGAGCCGTGAGATCCTGGCGCCGCATTGTTTTCGCAACGGGCGGTGTGGCCTTGTTTCGGGCCCTGGGACCCTCGCGGATCGGTGCGACTTGAAGAGTGTAGCAGAAAGACGGGGCCCAGGGTTTTGGTCGGGTTTTTTTACGATGTTGTCGTCAGATCTCAGGGTCCTTGCTCACTCACCTCCTTTCCCCCTCCCCTCCCTTTCCTTCTCTCCCTTCTCGCTCCTTCCCTCTCTCGCACATTTTTTTCTCTCCCCCTCATCTCCTGCCTCGTCGCCATCGTCGTCTTCTGCCTCTCGCGGGCGGCGTCTTCGTTGTCGTCGTCGTCGTCGTCGTCCTTGTCGTCGTCGTCGTCGTCGTCGGCGTCGTCGTCGTCGTCGTCGTCGTCGTCGTCGTCGTCGTCGTTGTCGTCAACTGGAGCCACCGTTTCTTGAGGTGCACTTGTGAAGAGATGATGACGAGATGTCGCCGTCGGCGTCGTTGCCGTCCTTGCCGTCGTCGGCGTCAGCGTCGTCGCCGCCGTCGGCGTTGTCGTCGCCCAGGACGCCGCCGCCAGGCCAGCTGAAGGCCCTCCAGCTCTTCTCCCGCGTCGCTGGGGCAGCCGCAGCGCCGTCGGCCGCGCCGGACCCAGTGCACCACCCGGTGCTGCGGCTGCTGGTGGAGGCAGCGGCATTGGGTCGGTCTTAGGGTCAGTGGCAACGATATGGGGACAGGCTGACGGGGGGATGCATCGACCCACAATCGCTCATTGATCGCCGATAGGGGTCCGGAAGCCCACGCCGCCCAGGACCGTTCGGATTCGCTATCGGGTACCTACTTGGCTCCAACAAAAGTTTCCTTGGAAACTCGCAACAAGTAATATATGCGTGCACGCCCATCGGAGATGGGTTGTCGCGCGCGAGTGCTGAGCGCTCGCGCGCGCGAGATCCCAAGACGGCCCGATGGCTGCAAAATAGTTCCAGGAGGGCCTGTGGCCAAAGGCGATAACGTCCAGCCGACAGAAAAAGGGGCCCGACGACCTGACATCTGGCCGCAAACCCAAAAGGATCCCCGAGAAGGCCTCCAGGCCCTCAAGATGCCCCTGGAAAGTGGAGGTTCACGCCATGCTGAGGCGGCGCCGACCCGAGCGCGGGCGTTCAAGGCAGAACGCCGCCAGTGGCCCAGAATCGGCCGATGTCGAACGATTTGCGCTTTGCGCTATCGGAAAGCCAGGATCGATCTCCCAGACGGGGGGAGGAGCTGGTGGACTCAGAGGACCACGACCTCCGGGCGTCGAGTCAGACACCACGGCATTTGTGGTCGGTCCTCCAATGTTGGGCCTCTGGAGCTCCCAGGAGCTTCCTCTCAATTCGGAGCACTGGTTCCCTGCAGTTTTTCTTGCCGACGCGTCCTGCTGGGTGTACGGCCTTGCGTGCGTGCGTGGGGCTCCCAGGACAGTCGAGAGCGGCCCGCCGCATAGAGAAAACGCCCCCCCAGGGGCGGGGTCAAGAGCTTCTGGGGGGTACGGCATGTTCGTGTCGTGTCGACGCGGCGGCGGCCCCAGCGTGGGCATTCAAGGCTGCGCGCCGCCAGTGGCCTGGAATCGGCCGATATCGTACGATGTGTGCCGTTGGAAGGCTGCGATCGATCAGGGTTGAAGTGTCCACGAAGTGTCAGAGATCAACGTCGAAGACGGGACGACACGAGCCTGCGGTATCCGTGCTCTGCTTGTTTATCAGCTCGGTTCCAAAGGGTCTTGGGGCGGTTCTCGGAGGCTCTGGGAGGGTCTGCGGAGGATCTTGGATGACCCTTGGGTGATTCCTGGTGGGCCATCGAAGGCCCTCGGTGGTCTTTCGGAGGTTCCCAGCGGTTCTCGGAGGGACCTCAGGGGCAGAGGGGGTCGGTCCAAAACGCGCGGGGTAGGCCCAACCTCCTCCGCCTCGATTCCTTCTGAAACCTTGAGCCTGGATACAGGTCGTCGTCGTCGTCGTCCTCCTTCTCGGCCTCGCCCTCCTCGCCCCTCTCGCCCTCCTCATCGCCCGACGCAGCGTGTGTGGGAGGAGGGTCTTAGATGGTTTTAGAGGGCTCCGAGAGGGCTTAGGGTATTTTAGGGATCTCTTGGACTGGCAGGACGAGGAAGAGGAGGAGGAATAGGAGGAGGAGGAATAGGAGGAGGAGGAGGAGGAGGAGGAGGAGGAGGAGGAGGAGGAGGAGGAGGAGGAGGAAGGAGGAGGAGGAGGAGGAGGAGGAGTGGAGGAGGAGGAGAGGGCTGGGAAGGAGGAGGGTGCGGAGGATGCGGAGGGGCAGACGAGGGATGGGGGAGGCGCAGGAGGGGAAGCGCAGGACGAGGAGCGGGTGGACGAGTGTAAGGAGGACGAGGAATATTCGGGGGAAAACGATGAGGGCGAGGACGACGAGGGCGCGCTCGCGGCTTTCGGAGAGGCGGAGCGCGCCCGAGCGGAAGCGGCGAACGTCGGCCAGTGGCCGTACCACGTGGACGACCATAGCGCCTACCATGTGTCCGGCGAGCTGTGAGCAGGGCCGCGGCCTTCTTTCTTCGCCTCTTCCGCCTCCGCCATATTCGCGTTTCGTTGTGCGCAACAGGTCTGCTTCGATCGACTTTCGGCCCGTAGTAGGGTGTGGCAGCTCGCAGAGTCCCCAGGGATAGCGACTTTTTGGGGGCTCGGGTTTTAGTCGGGTTTTTCTTCGGGTTTGCTTTCGGTTTTTTCTAGTTTTTTTGGGGGGAGGGGAGGGAAAACCTTGACAATCTCCAAACTCGGTGGATTATCAATTTTTTCGGGGGGTTCTGGGCCCTACAAATTCAAACACTAGTACATCCGAAAACCCCAGGCCCCCTCCCGAATAATCTCAGAGAAACCTTCTAGCTCGGGTATTCGCCGCTTCTTTTCCGAGGATTTTCCAGCCACCCAAGGCTCCAGGGAGGAAAACCCCCGACCCCCCCCACCTTGAGTTTTTTTAATGTTTTTTTCTCGGGTTTGTCGTGGGGTTCCGGGGGGGTTCTGTGGCCTCATAATTCAAGACAGTACCATTTTTGAATTCCACCCAAAATCTAACAAACAATTTCCGCAAATCCCCCCAGCTCGGGGAATTTTCCCGGGTTTTTCAGGGGTTCTCCGGCCACCCCAGGCTCCAGGGGGGAAAGTTTCAGATCCCCCCGACTCGTGTTTTTTTGTTTCGGGAGGTTCTTGGGCCACACAAATACAAGCAAAACTACTTCTGACTCCTCCTCAAAAACCATTCGGATTATCCACTGAAAAAGCACTCGGGTTTTTTTCCAATGGTTTTCCAGGGGTTCTCCGGACGCCCTAGGTTCCAGTGGGGAAACCCTTCCACAACCCTCGCAATTTGTTTTTATTGTTTTTTGTCGGAGAGTTCCGGGACCCCACAACAGAAGCACAACACTGTTTTTGAAAACCAGCCCAACAAGCACGACAAAATGCAGAAAATCCTTCCAGCTCGGGTTTGTGTCCAGGGTTTTCCAGGGGTTCTCTGGCCACAGACTTCAGGGCGGAAAACATAGGACAACCTACCAACTCAGTGTTTTTTCAAGGTTTTTTCGGGGGCGCCGTGGCCCTACAATAAAGAACACATATACTTGTGCATCCCCTCCAAAACCCTCCCGAAAGTACCCTAACAAGAACCCAAACTCGAAAGTTTGTCATTCTTATTTCGGGGTTTCTCTGGCCACCCCAGGCTCCAGGGGGGAACATCATAGAACAACTCCCCTATCTCAGGTGCTTCTCCGGTTTTGTTAGTGTTTTGTAGGGTCCCGAAGCTTCATTATTCACTGCGTGGGGCTCGCAATATGTGCATCTATTAGCACGGACCTGTCCGCCGTGAATTTCTGGGCCCAAGATCTTTCGAATATACACGGACTTGAGTATTGACGGCCTGGGGGTGAATATAATTGTGAATGAGTCGGAGTGTGAATGAGTCTCAGTAGCAAGTGCGTCCCTGCGCATGAGCCTGGTGCCTTCTGGGGCCTCCTGATGTCTCCTGGGGCTTGCTGGGGCCTTCTGGAGCCTCTTGGGGCTTTCCGCAGCCTCTTTGGGTTTCTGAGGCCTCCTGAGGCCTCCCGGGGCTTCCTGGGGCCTCCTGGGGCTCCAACCAGCGCTAGGTAGGCACCGCAATCACGACCGCATGGGTTATGCAAAGCAACTTGCGGGTGGGGCGTGGGATGATTGCGCGAGCAGTAGAGTTGACGACTTCAAGGTCTGCAAGGTAGATTGCAGCACGTAGGTTGCACCACATATATCAAATCCCACAACATGCACCGCATACCTTGCTCCCCTCTGGTATGCGCCGCATATGGAATTCACCACGTGTATTGCATCATCCATCCCACCGCGTAAATTGCGCACAACGTGCATCGAGTGCAGGAACCCATCTTCTTAGCAGTACTAGTAGCACCAAACGCAGTAGCGGTCGTAGTGTCAGGATAAGGGTATGATGACTAAGAGGATGATGATGGTGGCGATGACGATGATGACCACGACGGTGATAACGACGGCGGTGACGACGATTCTGACGATACTCAACAATATTTTATGTTTGTGGTGGTGGTCGCGACGACGACTTCTGATGGTGGCATGATTCCTCCTCGCTTCTCCCACCTCTGCTGGCGGACTGCGGCCGCGCCTGTGCTCGCGCCCCTGCCTCCAGAAAAGCTGGCGGCCTGGGGCGAAAAGGACGCCCCACCCGCATCAGCCGGCGTGCCCTCACTGGGGGGAAGACCTCCCGAGGAACACGAGGAGGTGGAGGACGAGGAGGAGGAGGAGGAGGAGGAGGAGGAGGAGGAGGAGGAATCGGCGGCGCGCCCAGGGGGGCGGGACTTCACAGAAACCCTCGTGCCTTCTGAGAAGCCTTCTGTAGCTTCGGCGAAGACTTACAAGCCTTTCCAAAAGGCGCGAGGGCTTCTGAGGAACTCCACCGCCTTCTGAGAAGGCCTGCCCCCTCTAACTTCTCCTTCGAGCGCCCCGCCGAAGTAATAATCAAGGCAGACATGGCGAACGAGTCAGCGGGCCCCGCCCATCCCCGCGAATTCAATGGTGGCCCAGCTTTACGTTGGGACTGGCATGGAGTCCCCCCAGCGAATGGAAGGCGTTCGCGCAAGATCCCGCTTCCGACGACTTGACGAGGGGGGAACAACACGGGCCGCGCACAGGCGCAAGCGTACCTTCCAGAAAATCCTTGCGCGGCGATGCGAGGAGCAGACCATTTAGCCGTCTGTCACTCGACCGACTTTCCGATGTGCGCGACGCAAGCGAAGCGTGCGCCGCGCCGAGCCAGCACCGCCACTTTCACGCAAAATCAGTGTGGCCTTTCGGAGAAAACATTTCGTCCGCGCCGCTTTCCTCGGGCCTGGCGACCGAAAGCTCTGCGCCGCGCCCAAGCGGGAACGCCTCTCCCATACGAAGTTTGCGCGAGGCTTGGGCAGGGGCGGCATTTCGCTTGCTCGCGTGCGTCCCTGCCCCCGGCGACTTGGCTTTTGAAACATGTGCGTGCGCCTCGGCCCAGCAGAAGTGGCACTTTCGGACGAAATTTGCGCGGCGCCGAGGCGAGAATTACATTTTGGCCGCTCGGGTGCGACCCTGCTGTCAACGTATTCGCGAGTGTAAAATTCGCACCGCACCCAAGCGGAATATGTATATATATATATGTGTATATATATAATCAGGAGATTTGAGAGCGCCGAGGCGAGAGCAGCATTTCGCCCTTCTGCGCGCGATTTGCCTTCCGTCCCACTCCTGCCAAGCATTTCGCAACATGGACGGCAGATCGACCATGTCGAGGAAGAAGGTAAACTGTGTATTCTGCTGAAGGTAAACATGGAAGGGCCTGGATTGGCCAGCTATCGGCCAGCTGGGTGGCAGAGTGGGCGTATATGTATATATATATACATATACACTAAGGGGGTAATGATGAGATTGGGGTAGTGATGAGAGCAAGATCTCAAGGACAGTGTTCAAGCCACAACCCACCATGAGAGCCCCTCATGGACTCTCCTGGTTTTCTCGTCCTTGATTTAAGACTCAGGCCAAAATATTGACCGAATAATATAGATGTGCGCACTCCGAGTCGGGATGACCGCCTAGTGTTTTCCTTTTCCAAGCCAGGACGACGACGCGGACCAGGACAGAAAGGACGAGGAGGAACGTTTGCCAAGCCTGCCTCGGGGAGCGTCTTCCCGAGATCGTTGTGTTGGAGACCCCGGCGCTCGGAGACTTTCGTGAAATGGGCTTGTGTCCGGCACAAGTCGAAGATCCGCGACTTTAACGACCGCTTCAACGGCATCGCCACGAAGCTGAAGGCCAAGGGGAACCAGGTGCCCGATGAGGTCTTGGCCGACCTCTGCATCAAAGGGGCCTGGCTGCCTCCTGAGCGCGCGGCCGGCGTGCTCAATGTGGTTGGCAGCAAGTTCGATCCCACGAGGATCCAGGAGCAGCTCGCGATTAAGCTGCCCAAGGTTTCGGTCGTGGACGGCCGCAGGGAGCGCCGCGGCAAGGGAGGCTGCGGATGTCACGAGAAGGAACGCAAGATGGTGTGCGCCACGGAGGCCTACGACGATGAGCGTAGGGCCGAGGACAGATTCGACGGCTCCTCGTTTGACAGGTCTGACGAATTTGATGACGACTAACCAGGCGAGCTGCAGGGCGCGATCCATGACGCGGAGGAGCAGGTAGCCTTTTTCACCACGAAGATGGTGCGCGCGAAGGACAATCTCAAAAGGGCTAATAAGCAGGCGTGCGGCTACTTCGCCAAACGAGACGGCGGGCCTCCGCAGAAGAAGGACGACGCCAGGATCGCGAAGATGAAGGCAAGGGCGCGCTGCGGAGCTGCACACATGTTACTGGCGCGGTGACTCGCAGTGCCCGCAGAAGAGTGATCCCAACGCGAGGGCTGACATCCCTCGCGAGGGAAATCACAGGTCGAACCTCGCCACGCACGACGGGGCCGGCGACGCGCAGGAGCCCCGCGTGGCAGAGATGACAGTCGCGGTGGTCTACCAGCAGGGACAGGTGGGCGCGGCGAGAGCTGGCCATCAGAGCACCTTGTAGGCGATCGACCAGAAGACGCTGCGCTGGGCCGCCACCGCTCACTTCTACATCAAGAAGGACACCCAGTGCCTCATGGCAGCGACAGGCTCGGCGCTCATCTACATCTGCGTCGAAGAGCTATGTGAGGGATCAATCAGGAGGCAAGGTGACCTTCGACGCCGCCTGTTCGCGGTGCGTCGGGGGCTCGGACTGGTGCAGCGACATCAAGAGGACGCTGGCGGTCTTCAACATCCGCCCCATCGAGTGCCTGGAGAAGGAGCCGTTCCGCATTGGAGCGTCGAAGGTCGTGTGCAGCCTCACGGCGGCGCGAATCCCCTGCTCGGTGAACGGCGGGGCGTTCACCGTTCGCATGAGCATCGCGCGCAGCGCCGTGCCCAGAGTGCTCGGCCGCTAGGCCCAGAGCGAGCTTGGACATCGTCCGCCACGCCGGGGACAATAAGCTGGACATCAAGTCGATCAACGAGCGCGACATCCAGATGGGCCGGAGTCGCGCTGGACATCCGACGCTAGAATTACATGCTTCACCCCAGGCTACGAGCCGTTCAGGACGTCTCGGATGCCGAGACCGAGATCCGCTTGCATTCCTTTTCGACCTACCGCGCTGAGACAGCAGTGGCCTGTCCCGCGAAGCCGGTGGCGCTCGAGTGCTGCGACCGAGGGCTCGACGCCTCGGAGGCCGACGAGTCTCGGTCGGAGACTGACTGCAGCGAGCTCGACAGTGTTGAACTGTTCGAGCAGCAGGGGCGCCTCGCGTCAGGCATCATCAGGACAGAAGATGAAGCATGGGGTCCTTCCAACGCCATCCAACGTAGCGCGGCTCACGCACGCAGATCACAGGCTACAAGGAGCTACACTAGATAGTGATCCTCAGCCAGGGCGCGCTCGATGTCAGCAGCAAGCAAGTGGGGGCGAGCAACGAGGGCCGCCATCAGGACGCAGTGATCTAACGGCATCGTCACCGCAGCCATCCGGCTCGATTTCAAGTCTGTCTCCACCAGCGAGTGCGACGCGTGCCGCGGCAGTTCCAGCCACCGCAGCTTTCCGCGATCCAGCGGCCGGCGCTCGCGCCCCCGCCGCGCCAGCGATGTGTGACATTTCCCAGGGCGACGAGCTGGGGGGCCAGAAATTCGAGCGCGCCGACGCTGTATACTTTCCGGCCGCCAGCGATCGCCAGCATGAGGTTGCTGGAGCAACAGGCGGAAGCGGCAGGCTAGGATTTGGATGTGCCCGGCGTCGCGTGTGATCAGCTCGGAGTGATCCTGCGCGCGCTGAGGGCCGAGTGACACGACGACGATGTGCAGGACTACGTCCCAGGTTTTGGCAATATGTGCAAGGAGGAGCTCCAGCAGTTGTGCAGGGAAATGATCATCGAGTTCGACCCGAGGACGGTGGTGTTGGAGCTGCGGCAGCGCCGGAAGGACTGGCGGGTCGAGGATGCCGTCAGCAGCGCCTCGAGCTCGGTGGCTCAGCCGAGCTCGCAGATCGATGGGGGTGCTAGCGAGGAGTTCGCTGCGGCATTCGAGAGGTGTTGGGCCTCATGGGCCAAAGTGCCAGACCGAGTGCATTTTGACAAGGAGAAGGGGTTTGGCGGCGCCTTCAGCGAGCTGTCCCAGTCGTTCAACGCGGTGCAGCCAACGACCCATCGCTCGACAGGCTCATTGGCAGCTCGGTCGTGTCGAGTGGAGCGTCAGGGAGCTTGGTGGAAGGAGCTCGCGGCGAGGGCGATCGAGCACTCGTCGATCAGGTGCGGGGGCGAGATGCGGGCGCTAGGCATCATGGCGTCGGGCGCGAAGAACTCGCTGAGGAGGCGAGCTGGCTTCAGCTCCGCGCAGTGGGTGCTGGGGCGCGATTCCAAGAAGCCCGCGGACTTAGTGGGCGACGCGGCCAACTACAGCGCCCACTGCCTCGCCTCCAATGACGAGAAAATTCGCAGACGTTTTGCCATCGGGCGGCAGCGCGTGAGTCGTTCATGAGGATGCTCTTCGACGACCAGCTCAGGCGGGCCATGCTGGCTTGCGCGCGCACGGTGGCCTCGCCCTTGTCAGTGGGAGAGATGTGCTACGTGTTCCGCCAGGTGAAGAAGAAGAAGGAGCAGAGGGAGCAGCGCAACCGCAACGCCAAGAAGGGCCTCTGGCGAGGTCCGTGCGTCGTCATCGGCCAGTAAGACGAGAACACCCAGGCCTCGCTGGGAAAGGAAACTCCATGCTGGTGGCCGCGGAGCACATCAAGACGCTCGCCCCGGACGACGTCTGGTTCCCAAACGGCAGGGGCGAGATCGGCCAGGTCGTGGCCGAGCTCAACAGTGTTCGTAACTCACTGGAGCAGGACGAGGCTCCCGTGGAGGACATCCGCCCGGATCCGGGCGATCCCGAGGTCATGCCAGACCAGATGGAGCAGGCGTGGCAGAAATTTGCCGGCACTCCAGATGACAATGACTTCGGTTTGGACGCCTCGGGGGACCCAGATCGAGGCGCCAGGGCTAACAGACTTGGAGGAGCCGGACCTACGGTGCCGCTGAGTTTCGTCGTCTGCGAGCTACTTTCGATGGAGCAGACAGCTGCGATTTCGACCCGGCGTTCAAGCGCCTTCACACCTGCGCGGAGCATGTGGGGTGAGGTGCCGCGCTTCCGAGGGCAGCGTCGCGCGGCCCTGTGGCGGCGCCCGGTAGTGGACCGACGGCCAGGCTTGAACCAGAAGGAGCTAAGCAACGTTGGAGGTCCGCTCCCAGGGAAGCGATGCAGACCTCCATCATTGCCAAGAGCATCAAGCGCAAGCAGGCTGACAAGGGGATCCACTGGAGGGCCCTCAAGGAGTCCGACAGGGGGCTCTACCGGGAGTCGGCGGCCAAGCAGTGGAGCGAGTGGCAGAAGTACGGCTCCTGCCGAGTGCTCTCCATCGAGGAGTCTGAGGCGGTCAGGGACACGGTCAAGGCCAACCTCGTTCTGCCAAGCCGGTTTGTGTACCGGGACAAGAACGCGCCGCTGAGGACCGACGAGCATCGCTGCCGGTCAAGGCCAGGGCCAGGCTCTGTGTCGGAGGTCACATGGACCCGCGCCTGGCCCAGGGTGACTTGCGCACGGGCGCGCCTACGGTCGCCCGCAACTGTACCATGCTGTTCTGCACCACCTGCCAGAGGTTCGATTTGGAGATCTACGCGGCGGACGTGGAGGCGGCCTTTGTGCGAGGCGACGAGCAGCCCGACCAGCAACTGTTCATAGCCCCGCGAGGCCCTGCCTGGACTACGCCCGAAGCAGCTGATCAAGATCCTGAAGGGAGTGGCACCAAGGCAGTGGCGCCAAGGCAGCTGAAGCACCCGAAGGGTTAGCTACGGCACCAAGGCAGTGGTGGGCGAAGCTCAAGAGAAGCTTGCGGTGGAGGAGAACGCGAAAACTTAGTGTTCCGCGTGCGCCAGTATTTGCTGGACCCAGCGCTGTACTACGGCTACGACAAGCTAGGGGAGTTGTGCGCGGTTGTGGTCGCTCACGTGGGCGATCTGCTGCTAGGCATCTCGCCCGAGTGCCCGACCCTGTGCGACAGGTTCTGCCGTGGGGCGACTGGAGAAGCTTACCGTTCACATTCTGTGGTAAGCAGGCGTGGCGTGACGACGACGGCATTCTGCATCTACGACAGACCGAGTGCGCGAACGTCATCGAGGAGATCGCGCTCCGCAAGGGGCGCAGGACAGAGCTGTCGAAGGATGCGACGGCGGCCGAGTTTTCGGACAGCCGCTGCGCTCTCGGAGCGCTTGGATGGCTTTCATCGCAGACTCGATCAGATCTAGCCGCTGGAGTGACCGTGGGGCAACGCGCGCAGAACGAGCCCACCAGCAGGACTTGCTCGAGACGAATCGGCTCATCAAGTTGGTGCGGAAGCATGCGGCCGTCGGACTGGAGTCTCTGAAGTTACGTGGACCGCTTCGATTGGTCACTTACCACGACGCCAACTGGGCCAACGCGGACGAGCCAGCTGAGGGTGCCATATTCAAGCTTCTCCTTCCACCCTGGTGAGATCAATCAGCAAGGGCAAGAATGTCAGGATTCGCTCGCAGGTCGGCTACGTGACGTTCCTCGCAGAAGCTGACTTGTTTCGCGGAGATCTAGCTCGAGCAGGAATCGTAGGTAGGAGATCGGGTACCATCAAGCGAGTCTGCAGGTCTACTCTTGCAGCTGAGACGATGTCAGCGGTGGGCGCTCTAGGCTGTGCTCAGATTGCACGCTGTGTTTTCGCTTCGCTGGAGATGCCGGATGCCCATCCCGAGGACATCCCGCCGAGTTTGCTGCCGCTTGGTCAGATCGCGGATTGCGCTAGCCTGTGCGATGCGATCGACAAGCACGGTTACTCCAAGCTCCCGTCAGAGCGGCACTTTCTGGCAGACCTAGTAGGCCTCAAGGAGTCCCTCGGGGAAGAGGTCAGCAACGAATTCGTCGCCGACGATCAGCGCAGCCAGCTGCTTCTCTTTTGGGTTCCTACGGGCCAGCAGCTCCGTGATCAGTTCACCGAGCGATCGGACGGCCGTGCCATCAGGGCACTGCTGCGAGACGCCCGCCTCGCATTGCAGCGTCAGGGGCCGACGTGCCAGGCCAGACAGCGCGAGGCGCGCATCAACGGTGCTGGCTCGTTCTTCAAGCGCTCCATGCGCCTGGTTGCATCTTAGTTCGTTGACCTGCGATCTACACGTCTAAATGATCTAAGCCGGCAGATGCACATACCAAAAGAATGTTGCACGAGTTTGAAGTGGAGACTGCCAGTGCTGATCTGTAAGCATGCGTGCTAATGCGCTGACCTTCGCCGTATGCATGTGGGCTAAATCCTTTTCAGGGCCCTTGATTGGGCGTATCGGGGGGTGCCTTTCCGACTGCAGCTGCCCGAACGATGCCCCAGCTCCCTGAACTACCTCCTGGGTCTCGGTTGCCGCTCGGGATGTAGGCAAACATTGCCATGCCGCCGGGCGATTTGCAAGGGCGGCGCAAGGCTCCGTCTGCGCAAAGGCGGACGTTGGCCTCTCAGCATCTGGCAAAAGCTGGTGGCTCTGCGCGTTCGCGTTCTCAGTCCGTACTTATGTCCAATGCAAGATTGGCAGCGGGGTCGGCGCGTGTATTTCAGTCGCGAGGGTTTCAAATCGCATAAGTGCTGACATGGGGAAAGGTGGTATTCCACCAGCGAAGCACTTTTCCGTGGAGCGGGCGATGCGGACGCACGCGCAGACCTAGACGCACAGTCTATTTCGGTGACGCAGAGGGCCCCCAAGCGCGAGCACCAGATGGAAGGGCGAAGTGCGATCGAGCATTGTCGACGGCGCAGCGTGCAAAGCGTCGCGCACTGCAGCGTGCAGACGATGGGTGAATTAGAGGAATTGTAAGTCCAAGCGAAACGTGCAGCGAACTTAAGCGCGACAGCCAGGGACTAATTGCGGCTACTGAATCACCAGAGCGTGGTTCGAAAGTGAAGCGAAAGGAAATACACATTGCTAGGCAGATGGGTGGTGTGGCCGACCCAATGGTCTTGCGAGGCAGATGGGTGAGGTTTCGACTTGCAGACCAGCAGCGCAAAGCGACCGCGATGTAGGGCCGACGACGCGTGGCAACGCTGGCAACAGCGCGCCAAAGAAGCTGCGCCATCGGACGCGCCTAGCTTCAAGCATTTGAAATGATGGCATGAATCAGCAAGCCTTGCGCGCGCAACCTGCCGGCAACTTTGCAACGGTCTCATCTCAAAACCTGTGCGGACGGACAGGGGTGAACAAGGTCAGTTTACCGTCCCATTGCATGGGCGAACGAGCGCGGCGAGTTGGCCTTCCGGCCGGACAACTGCCGTCACTATCAAGAAAGAAGTGAGGAAGAGGGGGCAGACGACAACAGGCGCAAGGAGACGTGCGGTCACGCCGACGCGACAGGGCGACGTTGGGTGAAGTTTCAGCCCCAGGCGCACGGTCTGCGACTACCCGCCAGGATAGCCAGGCAGCCAGGGCAGCTACCAAAGAGTGCCGCGCCTGTAGCAGCACCGCAGCCCGCCAACCAGAGCCCCCCCCAGGGGTGCCGCGTCCCCGTGCCCCCTGGGCACCGACCCCCTGTCCGGGCCCTCCGAGGCGCGGCCAGCCAGAGGACTTTTTACGATTGGGGCGCGGGCCGCGGCCTCCTGCGGGGGGGCGAGGTGGCCCCGCGGCCGTCGCCGCGCCACGGCGGCCTCTCGGCTCGGCGGGGGGGTCTGGGGACGGCGGCGGTGCCGCGTGGGACGCCGGGCGAGACGCGCGACGCCGCCGACGCCCCCCGCTAGCCGCCCAGTCGGGGCGCCCAGTGGAGAGCACTTGCGGCGGCCACGCCGCATGGGTCGGGCGGCGAAGGCGCGGGCGTCTGGACACCGCGGGCGGCGCCGCCGCCGCAGACAAAATGGGGAGAAAGCGGAGAAGCGAGGACAGCGCTAGGAGACGCGCGGTCGTGCCATGCGGCGCGATAGAATAGGGGTCGGTCGGGCAGCCGCGCGGGCCGAATGCCGGCCAGCTGGGCGCAACGCAGCTGGCGAGATGTTGGCGGAGCCGAGCTGGCGGCGCGAGGCTGCCTTAGGTGGCGAAGTCGGCGATGGCATTGGGCGCGCCTGGGGGCGCGCGGGGCATGCCGCGTGTCGCAAGAATGGGCCGCAGAAAGAAGCTAGGCACCGAACCCGGCTGAGCCGCATGGGTGATATGCAACGGATATCGGCAACGACGTTGCTGGGCGGGGGGGGGGGGGGGGCAGGGGGGGGGCGGCGAGCATGGGCAGCGACGTCAGGGTGGGGGGGGGCGCCGACGGCCGACTCCGCGGCCAGAGCGGAAAGGCGCGGGCAGGTTGAGAGCATCAGAACACGAATTTCCCCAATGATAAGCGACAAAGGCCGAAGCTCCGGTGGGGATTCATGCGCCCGGCCGTAGCGCGATGTTGCCTCCGTGCGCTCTGTCGGGTTACCCGTTCTGGAAAGATATTCAGTGGTCTGTAGATGGGTGGGGGCCTCGGGCGCGCGGGCGCGCGCGGGCGCGCGCGTGCACTCCGCGCGCGGCGCGCGCGCCGCGCGTGCCGCGCGCGCGTGCTCACGTGCACTTGCGCTTTTATAGTCGGTGGTGCAGAGGGCCCGGGAACGCGGGCAGCAGATGGAAGCGCCAACTGCGATCGAGCGTCGCCGGAGGCGCTGCGCACGAAACGTCGGGCGCTGAAGAGTGCAACAATCGGTGTGTGAAAGAGGAACCGTAAGTTCATGTAAACCGTGCAGCGGCCAGGATTTGGAGGGGGCTACTCAATTCGAAGTAAACTGAAGCGCGAGCAGTCTGGCGCGAATGTTTCGGTCATTGAATCGCCAAAGCACGGTGTTGGATAATCAAGTACTGCAAAAACTAAGACGGCTGCCAGACCTGCCAATGGGTGAAATGAAACGCTGGCCCAGTGCGGCCCGACAAGTCATGGGTAGGTGTGAACCGACGAATTGGCAAATCGCGCCTGGCGCGGGGAGTCAGACGCCCAGCCAGACGCCCGCTGGCACTGCCGAGCGAAGGAGCAGCCAACCCGACCGTGGGTCAGGCGCTCGCGATGCCGCGCGCAGAAACGAAAAACAAACCCTGCGCGAGAGGTCAGCCGCGGCGACGCCGTGC